GGGGGTGTTGTGTGTGATATGTTATGATGGGAGAAGACCTGAGGAGAGTACTTGGTTTAACCCATACATTGCCACTTAAAAAAAAAATGTGTCTACATTGATATATCTCGATTTCCCCCCCTCCTGTTTTCAGCTAAGAAAGAAGAGGCTCTTTAGTTTATCTTACAATGTTTTCTCCTCTGCCACCATTCCTTTGCATCAATAGAAAAAGCAGTTCTTTGTCGAATCAAATCTTAAATTGGCCCCACCCCCTTGCAGCTGTTAGCTCAGTTAGTGTTAGACTGAGGGTGCAGATGGTCCTATTTCGAATCCCCAAATGGTGTTCTTGAAGTTGACTTAGGTCTGTCAGATCCTGAGGTCCTTCATTTAAGATAATTTCGCAGCTTTGGAAGGGGTGGTGTTAAACATATGCAATGACTTTATTAATTCTAATTGTTTTCAGCAATGGAAGAGGTTGTTCTCTTGCCTTGCCTTCCGCCCAAGTTTGACAGTGATTCTGGTGTAATGGTTAGGCTCTTTGCTGTTGCACACAGAAGACAGAAATTGTTTTTTTTTTGCACGAGGAAGTCTTATTTTATCAAGTGTATTTGTTTTTCTGTTGAAAAAATCCCATTTACCCAGGTGTCAATTAGAGACGTAAATATGTTTAACTAAATCTAATCTCTCTTGTGCTGGAACCTGAAACTGAAATATCTTTTCCCCTTTAGCAGTCTTACATTATCTCATCAAAGTGTCGTCTTCCCCCTTTCATGGGTGGTTAGCCGGCAATCCTGTGTGGTGTGCTCCTCTTTTCATATTGAACATCTGCTGTCCATGTTATCTCTCCTTTTTGTTTTCTTTGTATATTACGCTCTAGTAACATCTCTAATCTTCGGCACATATTATTATATGGTGGACGGTTGGAGGGTGCTATTGGTAGGTCCTTCTTATTTACTTTCCCTCTGTTATTTCTGTCGATCTTAATTTTTCCCTTAGGACTGTAGCAATATTTGACCATTATTGTGTTGATGTGCTTCTCTGTACTCAAATAAACGAACAAGCAACGTATTTGTATAACTAATGTATGTTCCTTGTGCCCTAAAACTCACACTGAAACTAAAGTTCCCCTCTTTCCAGCTATGATTGTAGCACTGTATGACCATTGCTATGTGGAATGACCATTGTTTTGTGGATATGCTTCTCTTTACTTAAAAAAAACCAACCAAACAAACAAACAGACAAACAAAGCATATGTATGACTAATGTGTGTTGCTCATGCCGTAAAACTCTTACTGAAATGAAACTTTCCCATCTTTCCAGCAATGGAAGAAGCGGTTCTTTGTGTTAAGCAAGCCGTCCGGGAGCCTCCCCGACCAGTACGAGCTGCACTACTTTAAGGACGACCGTTGCAGCAACAAGAAGGGCTCCATCGACCTGGAGCAGTGCGACCAGATCATCTCTTCCCTAGACTCGGACCAGTTCCCAAATCTGCTCTCCATCAAGACAGTCTACCGGCATAAGGTGAGGGAAATTATATTATCAGGGATGGACATTTTCCATAAATTTATGGAAGTCTGTAATTTTAATTTGCTCCGTCATTTTCCGTAAGCGTCCTTTCAGTGGTGAGTTGTTCTACTATATGTGCTAATCTACAATTGAATAAGTGCATTTTTCCGAATCTGTATAGATCTAGCCCTAGAAAATTTAAGAAAATTTTGGACTGTCAATTTCCCTCTTTGTATCCATACATGTAGAGTTGAATCTTCTCTCTATCTAGACGGTTTACAGGCATAAGGTGAGGAAAATTATATTATACATGTACAGTCGAATCTGCTCTTACGGCCACCTGTCCTAGACAATCACTTTAGATATAAATACCCACTTTCCAATTTCCTTGTTGTGTTTGTGTATGTTTTAATGACAAAACGTCCACCATACCAAGATAACCATATTTCTCCTTGGCATTGGGTGGCCGTCCTGGACAATCTCAACTGTATTTGTCAGTTTCTTTGGAAGCATTTGCTGCCTTTAGCACACTGTCCTGTATCTTGTTATTATTATCATATTCCGATGGCGTACCTACTAGGTTACGTTATGGTTGGTTGGCGGGTGCTCTTATGTGGTTTGCTCCTTTCCAGTACCACCATCCTCATCTTTCCTTTTTTGGGGGGATATGTTATTCTGTAGTAATCCCTAATTCTCGGCACTTATACCCCCCGGGGCAGTGCCACTGACTGTAGTGTCTTTAGGCCATTCCTAAAAGGGGGATATTTCTCGTTCAAGCATAGTAGAATTGTAAATAGGCTGACTCATGTCATGCTCATAACTGTGCCTGATCTACAACAGGGAACTGCTGCTTTTTCTTTCCTGATCCTTACTATTGTCATTTTTCTCTACTTTTTTTGTATGTTTGTCACTCTCTTGTGACCTGCTATTTCCGGGGTGCCTTGATAGTCAAAGTAGACCTTGTTCTGTTGAAGCTAGAGAGGTGAGCAGTCTAAGTCTGATTCCCTGTAAAGACTTCTCTGTTGACACCCACCCCTTGGCGCTCATATGATGTTATGCAGTTGTGAGTGCCGTAAAACCCTCTACTATAAAAAAAAAATTGGCACTTATATGACCTAAGTGTGTTGCAATTGCTGCAAAACTCTAGTTGCGGACCTGCTACATACTGTACAACATACCTCATACCTTCCTATGATCAAAACATGCGCACCTGATTATGACACTTAGACTCGCGTTTGAATATTTTAGACTGTGCACTCTGAAGTTATTTAGAGAGAGAGCGAAGAGGGGTGACCATTACAGTACGTTGTTTAGGTGTACAAGTCTATGGTATGATGCGTTGCCCCTTCGTTCCTATCAAACATCTATCGTAGTTTTTTCTCCTTCTTTTTCTCTGTTCGTTACTCTCTCGTAGCACCTCTAGTCTTCGGCACTTATATGTCCTTATTGTGTTGCAATTGGTGTAAAGTAAAATGCTTACATAAACGAAACAAGAAGAAAAAAAAAATAGTGTGATGTTTTTCTGTGTCTCCTTCCAGTGGCGGACCTACTACCTGGCCGCGGACAGCCAACAGGAAATGTCCTCGTGGGTGGAGTGGCTGTGCCACGTCTGTGGCCTCAAGCAGGAGGAGCAGCGTAAGTGCGACCTTTGACCTTCTTGCGCTGTGCGGGTCATCGTACGACCTTTGGTTATCCATCACACGACCTTGAGTCCCCCTCCCTTCTTGCACTATGATTCTTTGATGCTTTCGGTCTCTGTCTGCAGTGTATTACACGTTTCTCTTACATGTGTTATTTATTCCTCTCATGTTTGATTTCAAGCAATATAGGGATGCCACTTTTTCTTTTTTTTCAAAAACTGGAATCCTCGAAAGATGAGATGATGGTAATGACCCAGTCATGTTATATCAATTTATTTTATTTATTAATGCATACATTTGTATATATATATAGGGGGGGGGGGCTTCTTCTTGGTATTACCAAGTGCTCTGCTTTCAGAGAAAATGAATATAATCATAATTGTGTTGATGTGAGCTTAAAATACTGACAATAGAGGACAGGCAAATGAACTTTTCATGTGTGCAAATGAGGTTTTCCATACAGTGGGTGTTTTAAAAATATTTTTAATGGTAAGAAATGTCAACCTTAGTCTCTTTCTTTTTTTTTGACGACGTACTGTCCTGAAGACATACTAGAAATCTTACAAGACTTTAGTGGCACCCCTAGACAATGTTGGCTTGTCTTTTAATTTCTAGATGTGATTTCTACGCCGCTGGCCCTGTTACGCATCAGTGAAAGTCAAATACTTAAGATTTTCTCTTCCAATGAAAGCAACAGTCTTAAATGATCTTAACTGTGTCGATGGATGCATTACACGCAGTAATTGTTATTTCTTATATATAGAAGGCAAGACTGTATCTCTGTTGCATGCGGCCTTTCTCCTTGTATGTCTCCCAAAAAAAAGAAATGGAATTTTGGGTTTTTTAAATTCACAATTTGGAAATTTACAGTATGAAATTAAAGCTTTAATAATTTAAATTGATACCAATGGCATTGTATGCCTGAGGATTTCTGAATATGAACTCGATAACCAGCTGAACAATGTCAGACTTCTACCATTTTTACTATGGCCTTCGTTGTCTTTCAATTGTATTGTATTTGAAGTTATAACAATACTGTGCTTTATAAGCTCAACAGTTTACGATATGTTAATCAGATTTCTTGCTTCTTTTGGAAAGCATTTGAGCTCCTCCTATATATAGATTACTTTCCATTTCAGGAAGTTTCCTAAGGGTCATTTATTTATAAAATCCTATGGGATAAAATGATGACACTAGGAAATATATTGCAATATGCTTGCAGTTATGTTCAATGTGTAACTGCTATGGATTCTGCAGTTAGCACACAATACATAGCAGTATAGGGATGTGTAGGGACGAGCTTTGGGACTGAGACCCACGAAAGCAGCACATGAAAAACATGTATATAATGTTATGTTAAGGAACACTGCGAGCTCGAACAAGCTCTATTCCTCGTTGCGTTTGGTAAAATTGGATATTATATTATTTGTAAAAATTCCTATGCATTTTAAAATTTTAACTTTTTGTGATTAATTATATTTTATTTTGATATTGTCTTTAATTTTTTTTGGGTGATTGATTATAATTTACATGTATATCATTTTTATATTGTTATATTTGTTATTGGTTCCTCTTTGTAAAAACAAAACAAAACAAACAGAAAAATAAGAAACAAGCAACATTTTCTTTTAATTTGTTGTGCAGCTGTTAGTGTTAAATGAATGCCATCGTTATTTTTTGTGTTCAAGTTTTCTGTGTGTAGATGTTTTAAATAGAAATGTATTTGACATGGGTCCCAAATTTGCCAAGAGAAATATTTCTTTTTTCTTACTTTTTAAAAAAGTTTTGGCTGGATATAGAGGGGATAATAATAATTTTTTTTTTTTAATGAGTGGTGGATGGGGGGATTGGAATTATTTTTTTTTGCTGTTCGATAGAAGACATTTGTGTTTTCTGACTGTCTAAGATGAATAAAGCAGACTACACAGACAGATATAGGTGGCCCTTGAAATGACGTGGAATGTAAATATTTGGATTGTGGTCTGTCTGATGATGACCCATTAAACCAGCGCCTGTGATTTAATTAATTAGACTCTGAGCAGAAGACACCAGCTCCATCCCCAAGCAGGAAAGTTCTTTATGGAGTGCCTGCGTCCGTCTCCTTGGATCCGCTTCCCAGAGATGTTCAATTCGTTGCTGGGGGATGGAGATGAGGGGGGAGGGTGGCGATGTAAATCATTTTCAATATCAGATATGAATTAAGATGAATCATGACGAAGCATCATGAGATTGGGTGCCTCACAATGGGCGTTTGTCCTTTCCCTAGTTCGGGCATTCTTTCTTTCGGACCAAAGGGGTGGGGGGGGGGGGGGGGGGAGAGGGAGGGTTGTGTTTATCATGCGGGAACAGTGGGTGCCAATTTTTGCCCTCTTTACTGGAGTATGACAGATTTTGTTAATTTAAGAAGAGCATTTGCTAGCCTGTGCGTTAATTTCATAGTGACAACAAAAAAACCCAACAAAACAAAAAGAAAAAACCAAAGTGTAGTTTTGCTTTAAAAAAAAAAATTCTGAATTTGAGACAAACAGTAAATTAGGAGGAACAAGCTGATGAATTGTATACTATCATGTTTTAAAAGGTTTTAGATTGTTTTTAAATCTATGTGAGCCATGCCTTGCTCTTAAAGTTTAGAAGGTGAACATGACATGAATCAACTTTAGACTAATGAAAGATAACTGCGTCTCTAGTGTTGAAGCAGTTTCAGAAATCGTCTGTTTTCACATGAGTCAATATTTGTTCATTCATCTCTTACACCTCTACCCATTCCCCCATTTCTCTCCCTCTCTACTTCTCTTCCCCCCCTCTTTCTCTCTCTTTCTCTCACCCTGTATTCCCTGTATTCTGGCACCCGACGCCTGTCTTTGGTGGACGTGACGGAATCGCCCTCTCTCAATGTGTAAGTAACGAGTGACCCTTCTCCTCCTCCTCCTCTCAGATCTGGGAAATATGGCAAAGGTCCAGTTGAGGTCTTTATTCCGAACTTACTCGACCTAATAAGAAAATCTGGCCGGGGTCTCCACTTTCTGTGGTATGGGTCCAATTCCAAAAATCACCCCTCGTGTGTGGGGGGAGGGGGAGAAGTAGTCATTTCGTCATGACCTCATTTTAGTAAGAAGGGAGACCTTAACTAGACCTTTACCAGCAATGTTTCTGCATCATCTGCTGGCTCCTACCTATTGCCTCGTTCAGCGTGTTCTTCCTTCCTGGTTGTTGCACCCCCCCCCCCCCCATCTCGAGGGGAAAATTTACCCCCCCCCCCCCCCCACCCTTCCAACCTTGGCCTTTTGTTTACTCCTTCTCCAGCCCCCTAGATCCCTTTGCATCATCATAGTATTTGCACCCACCATGCATGTTGTATTTCACGCACGTCTTGTAGCATTATTATTGGTATATTATTAGTATATGTATTATTATTATTATCATTATTATTCTTATTATTAGAATTAGTATTATTGTTATTATTGTTGTTGTTGTTATTATTATTATTATCATAAGCATTTATTATTATTGTTGTTGTTATTATTTATATTATTTATTATTATTCATTATCATTGATATTGTTGTTATTTTGTCATCATTTGTTTTTAGGTGTTGTATCTTCATTTGTTGTGGGCTACTGATATTCAAATTGATTTGCTTGTTGAATAATTGTTTTTTTTGGCTGGTTGTAGTCTTTATTTAGGCTGGTTTTGTAATCTCTCTTTGGCTGGTTCTGTTTATGAGTTTATTTGGCGCGATTTCTTTGGTCTTTGGGTGCTGCTGTGTTTGAATCACTTCTTCCGAGCGTCTGCTGTGTTAACTTTTTCATGGTCATGCTCTGTTTTTACTTTTTAAGAAAATTAACTTTAATTTTCCCTTTTGATTTTTTATGATTTCTTCGAAAGTGTTTTTCACTTCATCCGTTTCTGAGCTTTGAACAGTTAATTTACCTTTGTCAGTAGACATCTGCATGCATAACATTATATTCCATTTTCTACATTTTGTTCTTGCTTGATAATATAAAAACATACTTTTTCCTTCTTAACTGGTACTGCCTAAAAAATTCATTTACCTTTTTTACTTGTACTGTATAAAACTTATTTTCCTTCTTTACTTGTACTGTACCGTATAAAAAAGCACTTTTTCCTTCTTCACTGGTACTGTATAAAAAGTACTTTTTTTCTTCATTACTGGTACTGTATAAGAAGAATATTGTCCTTCCTTACTGGTACTGTATGAAAAGGACTTTCATAGCTGCTGGTTCCCAAGAGGGGAGGTCTTTTTATGGAGTGTCACCTTTTAATTTTTCTGCAAAGATATATCCCATTCTGCCCAGGTTTATTAATTAAGGCTGGCAGGGTCGAGGCCGTCAGACATTTATGGGCGAGCTATTATTATTATCATCATCACCATCATCCTCTTCCTCATCATCATCAGAATTGTTATTATTATTATTATTATTAGTGTGGTTCTACCTGTGCTGGGATAGTTTACGTCCAATCTGAAGATTGGGCTCAGCCAGCGGTCACTGTAGTGGAGCACGTTAACACGGCCTTGTCCTTGTGCATGGTAGTTCCTGAAGTGGTGTCTTGATTAAAGGGTATAGCAGTCCGCAACTTCACTTTTTGACATTTAGACCTCCTAGTGGTTTGAGAGTCTCAAGAACTTACAATGTACTAGGGCGGTAACAACATTCTGATAATGAGATGCAGTCTCCTTTATTAAGGACTTACACCTCAGTCTCATCTCAGTTTTTTAGTAAAAGTCTAACGGCACTTGCAACAAAATAAGTTCATATAACTGCCGGAGATTAGAGATGTTACAAGAGACTAACAAACTCAAAAAAGAAGGAAAGATAAGGACGATAGATGTTTACGAAGAAAGATGGGGCAACTACACCAGAGCACTCGCCAACCACTCTCAGTAACAGCTCAGGCACCACTGATTACAACAAAAATGTACAAGAATGCGATATGAAACATACAAGTAACCGGCTGTCAGTGGGGCAAAGGTTTATGGAGAAAATTGTCTCTACTCATGTTGTGGTCTGTTTGTCACCCAGTGTCTTCGAAAGCTCTTAAGGAAGGCAGATTTGCATGGTCTTTTTGGCATTCAAAGAGTGTGGGTTTGAGTAAAAAGAAGTGCATCTTTACAAAAGTGCATTTAGTGCAGGAAAAGGGCAAAAAAGACAGGCAGAAATACTGGTGGTTGGAGGGCTCCACTGGTAGGTCCTACTTCTTTATCTTTGCTCTGTTGTTTCTGTCTATCTTACTTTTTCTAAGCACTAAATGACCATTATTGTGTCAATGTGATTCTTTTTACTCTACGAACAATGAAACCAACAAACAGGCAGAAACAACAGAAGGAAGAAAAGGAGTACTTTCCAATGGAGCCCTCCAAACACTGATTTAGAGGGTTTGTAATGCTGCATTGTAACTGTTCCTGATACACGACTGCCTTGTTTTACTGTGACTGCAGTGGTTTTTAGCCAACCAGCATAATGTGTAACTATTTTATTGTTGTTGTTTTGATTTGTCCATTGCAAAGTTCATGTCCAGAGACTATGATGAATCAAAACTTATAAGTTCCTACACATTTTGCTCTTGGTGGGTACAAGTTGTGTTGTATTAGGAATCAGACTATGAAAAAAAAATCCCCAAAACATGTGACAATGTATTGTTGCGAGTTGTTCTGTTTACTTCTTCTTGTTTTCTTGTGGGTGGTTGGTAGGTGCTCTGGTGTTGTTAGCACCTTCTTCCCTATAAAATCTACCCTCCTTTTTCTCCACCTCCTTTTCTTTGTATGTTACTGTTTTGTAACACCTCTAATGTGCAGCACTTATATGATCTAAGGGTGTTGCTGGTGCCAAAATACGCCTTGCTAATACCAAAACAAAAAGAACTGTTTCCTTATAAGCCTAAGAAAATTTTGAAGCTTTGTGGTACTATTCTTCTTGCGGCTTTTTTTGGTTGTTGAGTTTCTTAAGGGGGCTACACCCCCAAAATCAAAATTCGGCTCAAAATCATGGAATTTGAGTTGTAGGCATTTTTAGCTTCCTCAGCCTCTCCTACAACTATTTCATGGCATAAGAACCCCCAAAAACCGTATTTTTTCCCATACCGGGCATGTTTGTAACCGCCATTTCCTCATAAAGTCAGTATTTTATTTTTCTTTATCGGCCGTTTTCTCAAAATACTACTTTTCTCTATACTTTTTTGAATAACTCCACCATTTTTCATTCAATCTTCATGAAATTTTCACAGAATGAAGAGAAGAGGTAATACAAAAAAAATTTCCGTTGAATTTTTGATATATGGAATAGATTTTTGTTGGTGGTGTCTGGAGTGTGGATTTTCACGGATTTTTCGCAAACTTGAATGCTACGTCAGGAAAAAATTCATTAAAAAATTTTTAATTCGATTAGGAAAAAAACAACAGACGAATTTTTAGATCTAATGTTTGTGCACACGCCTGCAAAATAACAATCAATTTCCATGAGCGATAAGTGCGGTATTCATTACGTAAGACATGTCAATAAAATCCAATATGGCGGCGTATCCATGGAAACGAAACTTTTTTCTCAAATTTGATTGCGGATTTCAAGACTCCTTACTATGCTAGTTATATGTGTGAAATGTGGTAAAATTCGGTCCAGTAATAAGCGAGATAGCCTCCAGGTGTAGCCCCCCCCCCCCCCCCCCCCCTTAAAGGGTCTAAAGTTGACACATCGGGTAACATGATCTGACGGTGCTTTAGTGGTATGTTCAGTCAGCATGCTGCTTACACCCAGTGCACACTATCAATTTGGATTCTTCGGATTAAGTTGGGGCCGGCCAAATTTTCCCTTATAAATGGATGGAGTAGAAGCTGCCATTTTGGTACAATACGATCAAATTCAACTACTTTCGACCTTGACCTTCAAAATCAAATGCCTTTGTTTTCAAGGCTGTGAGTCAAATTGGTCATGTTGTGCCCAAATGTAGCTTTTTCCCCCATCTATGAAGGAAAGTTTGGCTGGCCTTGACTCAGTCTAATGAATCGGATTGGCAGTGTGCTCTGGGTATTAGACTGTAATTTAATGCGATGCCATAATTGTTATGACAAGGAATGGAACTAGTTTTGGTCTTTTTATGGCTTGTTGTTTTGGTTTATGAAATGCTGCCTCCTAAATGATTTGTAAATATTTATATTCATGGGGGTGGGAAACATTTGCATTAATATAAATTTTTAAAAAAATGAGGTACTGATCTGATTCATGACACTCTAAAAGGGTGATGGTCAATGAAAGTTTATATCATAGACTTGGATTATATCTTAGACTGTTTGCTCTGATGCATTTATGGTTCAATGTGGAGCACATCAATTGAGCTAAATGAAGGGCAAGTGTGTGGGGGGGGGGGCGTTCTGAGTGGACTGGGCTATAGTGAGATAGATGTTATGCTGTTCGCAGTGAAGGTTTTAGAGCGAGGGAAGGTTGATGACATTCAAAAGAGTGCGCTGTGTAGTAGTATATGTCTATAGTTTTTATTGCTGTATCTTGTGTAACATGCAAATTTTGTGTTTTGGAGGTGAATATAAAAAAAAAAAAGCAGAAGAAATAAACCTTCAAACTTTTCTCATCGTGAAGAGTTCATCTCTAGTAGCTGATCACGCTGGTGTCATGTGTTTGAGAGTGATTGCTTTGTTGGTTTTTTTGTTTTTGTTTTTTTTAACTAAAGAAACTGAGTTTTTAAAAGATTTTTTGGGGCGATTTTTTCTGACTTGTCTTGTGAGTTTCGTTTTGTGTTGCATAATTTTATGCCCTTTTTTTGGGGGGGGGGGGGAATATCACATAATCCTACTAGACATCCTGTTCTGAAAAAGGGTTCATGAAAAGATTTAGAGACAGTTGTAGTAAAGTGCTTCTGAATACATAATATGTAAAAATGTTCATAACCTCTTTCACTTCAAATGTTCGTAGCCTCTTTCATTACTTTCAGATATTCATTGCTAGGTCTTATTTCTTTACTCTCTCTGTTATTTCTGTCGTCTCTTTTTTTTCCTAGCACTGAATGACCATTATTTCTTCAATGTGCACCTCTTTACTCTAACAAATCATCTGGCTCTAGATGGCCGTTATTGTATCTATGTGCCTTTCCTAACTCGAACAAACGAACAACCACTCAAGTGTTGTAACACCTTTTCTTTCCCCATCTTTATTCCACAGCCACAGATATCCCTGAGGCTAAACCTCCTACTTCAGCCAATGGAGGGACGATCTCCGGATCTGCTGGGGCTCCCCGACCCGTCAGCCCACACAGTGGCTTGGGTATAGGCGCCCCTGTGACCACGTCCCCGCCCAGCCACAATATGTACCCGTTGGGCTCTGTGGGTGCTACGTCCTCATCGCATTCTTTTGCCTCGGAGTCGAGGGATCATGGGGGATCACGATCACCTTCCCCACCGTCCTACATCATGCTCGGTGAGAAAACATCCGCATCATCAGTGTTATAAATAAATAATAAATGACTGAATTATGCTTTGTTGATCCCTGAGGGGAAATTTGGGGTAATGATGGCTAATGTACAAGCATACATAAAAATGGATATTTAAACACACAAGTGTACATACAAAGAATACTAAGTACGCAATATTACACTGATGCAAACAAGTTGCAGACATGCCATTTCTTGTCGCCACTGTGCAGCACCCTGTTATTCCTTTATTGTTTGAAGTTTGGGGCAAATTCAAGAAAAAGATATCGACAAAACCAGAACTTTGACTACGGCCTTGTATTTTTTTCAGTTAAAAACTAAAAAGGAAATAACAACAAAACTGCACACATGTAACACCTTTTATCTTCAGCACTTATGTGACCTATCTGTGTTGCAAGTGCTGTAAAATGCTTACTAAAACAAACAAAGGAATGATGCTGACGATGTGTCTATACTTATAGTCATGCATAGTATTTGATTGCATGCCTGAAAGTGCTCTGCAAATGTACACCTGTACACCAAGCCATGCAAAGTATTACAATATAAAAAGTCAATTATCCCTGTTGGGGAAAATTACAGTGTGGTCAAAAATTCCTGGCGCAACTTTTTGTCAAATGTGTCCCTAACTATCATACATAGACTCTCCAGCTTTTGTACAATGACTTGTATCAATTTGTCTTAAGAGATCAATGTTTTTGTAAACACCTGTCAGCTGTATTTTAGAAAATTCCTTATTAAACACAAATAAAAAATCGTAGTGGATGGTTTCTACCGATTTTAAAAGGTTTACAGCTGGGGCAATGTCGCTTTTAAAAGTAAAAGCAAGCCCGTCATTTTTTTTTTTATCGTTCCACTATCTTTATTGAACACTTGTTTTGAGAATCAAAACTGCAAAAATGTGTTCACTACATAATGAATTTCTCGTAACAAGTTTTGCTTGTAAAAAGTGTCATTTGTGAGCTGTGACATAGGCCATATGAGTGTTCAAAATGTGTGTGAGAAGCAGGAAGTGCTGTGAACAATCCCATTTTCCGCCTGACGGAGATTTATAGTACTTTATATAAATTTATGAAGAAAAGTTTTTTAATCTTGCCTTAATTGTTGTGGGAAAATATGATGTAGTTCAGACAAATTGATACAAATTGCTGTTCAAAGTATGGATAACATTGATTCACTCATTAAAGAGATATTTGAGGATAAGTTGGGCCACGAATTTTCGACCACACTGTAGTTGGAAAATCCGGAGTTAAGTTCTTCTTTGACAAGTTTGGCAAGTTTTCATGATTACATTCCGAAATAACATCCTGTAAGTTGCCCCTCGGGGCGGTGCCACTGACTGAAGTTTCTTTAGGCCATTCCCAAATGGGGGACATTTCTCGTTCTAGTGCACAGTAGAATTGTAAATGGGCTGATCTAACAATGTCATGCTCATAACTGTGCCTGAACTATAACAGGGAACTGCTGCTTTTTTTTTTCCTAATCCTTACTATCGTCATTTTCCTCTACTTCTTTTGCATGTTTGTCACACTCTTGTGACCCGCTATTTCTGTGATGCCTTGATAGTCGAAGCAGACTTTGTGCTGCTGGCTGAAGCTAAAGAGGTGAGCAGAGTAAGTCTGATTCCCTGTAAGGACTTCTCTGTTGACATCCACCTCTTGGCGCTCATATGACCTTATGTAGTTGCGAGCGCCGTAAAACCTTACTAAAACATTTCCACTCCTGTGTGGGGATGGGTATTTTTTTAATTGAGGGTCGCCATCTGACTTTCTGTACGTTGTATCCCTCCCAGCCCAGGTTGGCCCTGACCACAGGATTGAAGCATTCGGCCTCCTAAATGGCCTAACTAGTGTTGATAGGTGTATAAAACATCTATAAATAGATTATTTTTACTATGTTCCCAAATGCTGTGCAAATATCGTTGAGTGTTACATATGGTCAGGATGCTTTTTTTTTTCTCTTTGTCTCTCCAGAAGAGTGCAAGACAGGCCAGCCACATACTTCGGAGGACGTCCCTAACTACGTTGCTCCGCCCCCACCTGTCAAAGCAGCACCCAACGTGGCGGATGAGGAGCATGATGATGTATTCTTGAAACAACATGTCCCGGCACCAAGGGAAGTTCCTTCGCGTGGTTCTGCCTCATTTAACGTTTATCAAGTCCCTCCCGCTCGGAACGGTGGCGGTAGGTTCCCAGCTGATGACGATGATTCCCACCGGACTTCGTATGATGTCCCACCACCTCGTCGCGATGTCAGTCCGAGGATGAACAATGTAGGTGGTGGTTGGACGGACTCTGTGGTTTCATCCAGCAGTGGACGACCAAACACCCCGGACAGCTACGACTACCCTCCGCCTCGCCTGGACTCAACGACCTCATCCGAAGGAGGTGACCTCCCACCGGAGAGACCTCCTAGAATGACCCACCACGTCCCATCGCCTTACCAGAACCTTCCTTCAGATTTGAATACCGTCATTGCTCCACCACGCACCCACCAGACCACCATGTCTATTGGCTATGATATCCCACGGTCCTCGTTGGCTGGAAGAGGCGTGGTTCCGCCTCCTAGACCGTGTCAGACCTCCACACCCTCGCCTGCATCATCATCAACTTTGTCCACAATCACACCTCCCCCGCCTAAACCTCATCGCCCTAGCACTTCAGCCATTCACGCATATTTGAACGCGCCGACAAAGCGGCCCTCGTCCGGAGAACTTAAAAGCGGAGGAAGCGACACAGACACATCGTCGGACAGAGGAGGGGCTGGCGGTGGTAGCGACCAGGTAGATGCCAGTGACCGCTTCACTCCACCGGCCATCCCCCCTCCCCGCCACGGCTCTGGGACGGATGCTCTAGACGGCCCGTCTGTCAGTCCCCACTCCGCCCTCTACCAGACCCCGCCCCCCTCCTCCTCCTCAGCTTCCTCCTCCTCCTCAGGTGCCCCCGCGAGGCCCCCTGCCCGTGCTCCACCACAGGTGCCCTCAGTCAGTTCTATATCCAGCGACAACAGCACCTCTCAAGTTCAGGGTAGGTAGTATGGTTAAGTTCAGACATTCATTTGTTCTCAATATTTTCAAAGTTTAAAATACATTTTTCTTCCTTTATAGTAATATTAACAGGTTGCATTTATATAGCATGTTGCCCTACTATAAGTTTTCAAGTAGCTGCAATGCTCTATATTAACATCCCCACAGTTTGGTCTTCTGTCATATGTTATGTGCTTTTTTTTATGTGGCTGGGCCTACTTTTTTTCCCCCTTTGTCTTATCTGTCAACCATCGCTCTTGCTATTTATCCCTGAATTAAACAACTGTTATCTTTTAGATGTACTGCTCTTTACTAAAACTAAGAGATTATACTCTTATAGCAGGAAGTGATGCCTGCAGATGAATGAAGTTGAAGAAATAAGTGTCATGAGTTTTGTTTGTCAGGGTATAAGAAAAAGAGTCATGCTTATTTTGCTTTCCCCATTTCTTTCTTTCAGTTTGGATTTCATTTTGAGACAGTGACCTGTCTGTTGACAATTTATGCAGTTTTTGTTTACATTCTGTAGAGCTCTGTTATTTTTTCATTGTTTTGACTTCTTTTTTTCTTTGTTTTTTCTTTCACCTGCTTTGGAAAAGGTGTCTCAGTTTGTAAGTGTAAATTATTTTTACAGTAGGGGTATGTTTGTTTTTTAAAATCTGCTATGTTCACTTTTTGTTTCCTTGAATTTTGTTTAAAATGTTATGGCACACAGATGTCTTTCTATAGCCTTGCAATTGTTTTTAAATAATTTAGCATCATGTAGTGTGCACGGGTGATTAAAAAAAAAATGTTTGGTCACTACTGTTTCAGAAATTGTTCATGCGTCGACACTTATCTGGTGATTGATGGGTTTAAAAAATACTTAAAGCTTTACTTTCCGCCTTGAGCATATTCTGGAAATTAAAAAATGAAGTACTGTTTAGGGAGGGAGAGAGGGAGGCATGGCACCGGTTGGTGCTACTTTTTTCTTTCCCTCAGTCCAGTCTTTTCCTTTGCACTAAATGACTGTTGTCTCATCGATATGTTAACTATACGCCTAACAAGCATAAAGGAGTTTTAAAATTTATGTTCCTGATGTCTTTCCTTGAGCTGAGTGCCGTGCAATTAAGAACACTGTTCTGTGTACTCAGCTAGTGCTTACTTCATTGAGGACACACACTGGGTGGCTGGCGGGTGCCCCGGTGTGGTTTGCTCCTTCTTTCCATTTCAAACATCTATCAAAAGGAGGAGAGGTGAGGATGATTATCATCCTTATCTCTCCTCCTTTTTTGTGTTTGTTACTCTCTTTTAACACCACTAATCTTTGGCACTTGTATGACTTTATTGTGTTGCAAGTGCCATAAAACTTTCACTAAAACTGAAGAAAAAAAAAAGGATACACAATCTGCTCCTTAGACTTCGCTATGGGGGAACTTTAAGAAGAATGAAGCACACCTCTGTAATTCATACAGATTTTTCAGCTCTATTTTCTTCATATGAAACTTTAAAAGGCTGGTAACTCCACGCATACTATATATACTATGCAAATTCGTGTTTCTGATTTGTGCATGAGGGTTCGAAATGTGCCACAACATTGCCTTTGGTCTGCTGCTGATCGGACATATGCGTTCGATACTCCAAGAGTTAATGTACTTGTGGCTGTGACTTGGTAGTTTGCACTTTCTTCACGAAGCTGCTTGCCTTTCATGTGTGTATCTTTTATTGTAGTTTATAGTGTGTTCACGCATTTAGTATCTCCATCTATCAGCTAAGATGCTGTTTCACTTCCTGATCAGTCTGGCTAGGAAAAGCCGGTCTCTCAAATAATCTTAATTGTGTTTGTGGAGGTGTTAAATATTTACAATGAATCTTCAAGTTTGCTTCTGTAATGATTGTTTATCTATCACTGCTTCCTCTTGTGGGCACACCAATAGCTAGGTTGGTTTTCTGTTGGACTGTGCTGCAGATGACCCTGGTTCGAATCACAATGGGCTGTTCTTGCGTTTGGGTTGCTTTGCAAGTTTTATTGTCTCTTCGCCAACTAGGCTCACAGTAAATGGTGATTGACATCAAGTTTAGTTTGGAGGTCGTGCCTCCTCTGAAATAACATAACAAACAGCTGAACATCCACACAATTTTCTTTTTATTGTTCTCTATCGCTGGCAAGCTGTTGTATCGTTCTAAGCCCAGAAAGCAAAATATTTGCAGGAGAGAGTAAAAACTGTTTCAGTTCATTCACAAATTGTTCCTACTTTTGTATCTTTTCTTGCATTTTTCAGCGTTTAGAATTTAAATTTTAACCAAATATTTCATGAGTATATGTGACCGATACCACACATTAAGACCACCTCTTAGATAACTTAATAGTGTTGATAGGGTGTTAAACCCATACCATTTCACCATTTTCACAGATTAAGAAACTGCAATTAAAATTTTATTTTTTCAAACTTTTTGGTTTAGTATAAATGAAGAACAGCTAGCTGATGAAACTCTTTCTTTTTGGTTTTTGTCAACTGAAAGATGGCTGGATCGTGTAGAACTGAAAGCACTGTGCACCACTGCTGAATAGAGCAAAGACACTGCACTGAGTTTTTTTTTTTTTTTACTGTGTTGTAGTAAACTGGAGGAACTCCATTATAATTTGATTTTGATGATAGGTTCTCTGTGAATTTATTCTTCACTCTGGATATTTACAGTCTTAAATAAAAGCAAATTTTTTTAGGGCACCACTGGTAGGTCCTCCTATTTTTCTTTCACTCTGTTGTTTCTGCCTGTCGTTCGCTTCCCTTTCAAGTATATCATAGTGAGGGTAAGGAAGTAAGGTTGAGTTTACCCTATTGTGAAAACTCAATATACCATAAAATGCGTCGTTCTTATTTACATTGTCTGTTTGTAAAAGTTAGGCTTTGTGCTGTTGCACACATAAGAACAAGTGAGTTATGTTGTCAGAGATGCATATTTTCCAAATAAATTTGGAAATTCATATTTCGCTTGTTCTCTCTCTCTCTCTATCTCTCTCTCTCTCTCTCTCTCTCTCTCTCTCTCTCTCTCTCTGTGTTTCTGTTTCTCTCTCATTCTTTCTCAGTCTCTCTCTCTTTCAGTCTCTCTCTCTCTCTCTCTCTCTCTCTCTCTCTCTCTCTCTCTCTCTCTCTCTCTCTCTCTCTCTTTCTATCTCTCTCTCTCTTCTGGGATACTGATCCCAAAATGGTGTGAATTGTGTCTTTTGTGGCTTAAAATATTTATAACCAGTCACTTGTTCTATTCTTTGTGCTCTGTTGTGGCTGTTTGGTGTCCTCTACTTAATTGTCTATGGAATTGTTGACGGTCTTGTCTTAGACTGAAGCACGAAAATTCCTGTTGTCTTTGACTTAAGTACAGATTGTTTGCTACCTCAGAAATACAAAGTGCTGTAGATCTGAAATTTATGACCATTTTTGAGTATGTAAGACCATGAAGTCAGAAACCAAATTTTTCTATCTGCTCTATCAAAATCGTAGGATTGTTCAGAGTCATTATCGTGTTATTCAAAGACTTGCATTTAAAATAGGTTGACATGTTGTTGTGGAATTTAAACATTTTAATGTCAAATTTCTCAATACTAGGTACTGAGCAGATAGAACTTTGTACTTCTAGGGTAGCGAGTCAGACGACACCTTGGGTAGGTTCTACATCTTTACGTTGGCTAGTGGTTAGGCTCTCGGACTCGCAACCGTAAGGTCGTGGGTTCGAATCCCGTCAGGGACCCGACGTTGTGTTCTTGAAAGATCTTGTCAGTTTGTTAGTGTTTGAGCGCTTAATCAACTGCTTGCACTGTATGCTTCCCGGGAAGCTGAGAATGTTTCGGAGTGTTCTATGGTCTGCTGGAGTAATAATATAGTGTAAAGCGCATAGAGCCTGCTGTTGAGTGGGGATATGCGCTATACAAATGCTATTTATTATTTATTTATTTATTATTACTTTGTCTCTGTTGATTTTATCTGTGGATTGAGCTTCTTCTCAGCACCAAATGGCAGTTGTTGTTTTTTTATATCTATGTGCTTATCTTAACTCAAATTTTATTACATTTTCCATGGGTGCTTGGCAGTTGTTTTGGTGTGGTTTTGTCCATCTTTCCTATTAAACATCTATCTTCCATATCCCTCCTGCTCCTTTTTGTATTTGGTACTCTCTTGTAACACCTCTGTAACCGTCGGCTCTTATATGACCTAATTGTCATTGTGTTTGAAGTGCCTTAAAATTAAAACTCTTACTAAAACTAACTTTTCCATGAGTGACTTTTGGTTGGCTTTTGTTTTGGAATTGTGTTGAAAAGTTTCTATATAACAGTACATAAATCTTTTTGTTTTAAATATATGAAAGGTATTTACTAATTAAGTAATTTCACCATAATGGTAGTGTTTTGAATTTGTTCAATTTGTTTTTGTTTCCCATATATATTTTATTCAGTAATTCCAGTGGTCAGTTGGTTTGGGATTTTCTGATTGCTTCTTTTAATGGCTTCTTCCATCTTGTTTTGTTTGAGATTGATTGTGGATGGCAGGAAGGTTGTATATCACATGCTTTGGTATATCGGTCATTCATGAGTCAGAACTACGTACTTTGGTATTACGTATTAGTCTGTCATAAATCGAAACAAAATAATTTGGTACATTGTTGATGAATTAGAACAGAATACTTCGGTATATTGTTCGTTCAGAGTATAAAATTCTTGTATTTGGCATATCCTTTTTTTTTTTTTATTTGTTCGAAGGGGGCTTTGAGTGCAGTGCAAAAAATGTATTCCTCTTTGTTTTTTGCAGACGAGGGTTGCAGTATCTTCAGCACGCAAAGAACTCGCAGCTTCAAGAGACAACACAATGTAAACAACAATATCCCACAGAAGTGAGTGTTAGAGTTGCGTGCCAGATTGGATGAAATGTCTCTTTAATCTCAGGGATCGTGGTAATGGTTACACCTCGTGTCTTCCACTGCACAAACGTAAATGACATCAGAGCTGTGCTTCTCTTCCTCCGAGACCTTATATTGACAACACTCTGAATGGAAATTACAGCAACTGCAGCAGAACTGCACTAACCCCTACATGACACTGGACAAAAGGGCGAGAGCCCAGCTGTTGCTGGATTGATAACAACACATTGTGTCTTTATTATAGTGTGCTAAATCAAAGCTTTGATCTTTACCACCCCCCAGGGTGGTGTCACTGACTGAAGTGTCTTTAGGCCCTTCCCAAAGGGGGGACATTAACCTGTTCTTATGCACAGTAGAATTGTAAATGGGCTGATTCATCAATGTCATGCTCATAACTGTGCCTGAACTGCAACAGGGAACTGCTTCTTTTTCTTTCCTAATCCTTCCTATCGTCATTTTTCCTTCACTTCTTTTGTATGTTTGTCTCACTCTTGTGACCCTCTATTTCCGGGATGACTTGACAGTCGAAGCAGACTTTGTGCTGTTGAAGCTAGAGAGATGAACAGAGTAAGCCTGATTCCCTGTAAAGACTTCTCTGTTGGCATCCACCCCTTGGCGCTCATATGACCGTATGCAGTTGCGAACGCCATAAAAACTCTACTAAAATTGACCTTTACCTCGCTGAGTTTGCTGCACCTCTGTGCCTGATCTCCTTTGGGTGGTTGCTAATTACAGACAAACCTGCTATAATGGCCACCATTCCAAGACAATCACCTGTACAAACGACAACTTCCCACTTCCTCCCTTGTGTTTTAAAAAAATATATTATAATGACACTGCTTAAGATGTTTACCTGTCTTTGACGACCACTTTTCTCCTCATCAGTGTGAGTGAGTGGCCATATCAGATAATTTCGATTCTGTATGCCAATGCATACGTAAGGGTATATTTAGTGCACAGAAGGGAAAATTGTCATATTTTGGCATACACTTATTTCCATTAAATTAGTTTACAGCTTGAGGCACAAATTTGTTGGTCAGTTTCTTCAAAATTTAGATTTATAAAAGGCACTTTCTGGTTAGATTGTATAGCTTCTGATCCATCCACATACCTTAATCTTTTACCTGACTTAATATTGGTAATTTTTGTACTTATTAGTTGGTCAATATTTTAGTTTATCCCACACCCTTTTTTTCAAACTCATAATGAGTAATTAATAAGAATTAACAAGTATCTCTGTCTGCTATAATGTTGGGTCCTTACAGCCTCGGTTGGCCCTGTCAGGCAGGTTGAAAGCAGCCCTCCTGCTGTTTTATCTAAATGATTTAGAAGGTTCTTTGTGTCGATGGGGGCGTAAAATATCTACAATTTCAATTGAAAACTACATGCGAAAAACAACAGTAACTGGTGATGTCACATGTTCCTACTTATTGAAAATTTAGATCCACACACTTCCTGTGTCTTTCATTTGTGTGGAATTCTTTTAAGTTTTTATATTCTACTGTTGTAATATTCATTTAGAACTTATTTTAGACTGGTTGGTTTCATTTGTTTATGTCATCCTTGTGTCAGACAGTGGGGATTTGAAGAAGGACTATGGTTTGGACTTATCAGAGTTACCCCTGTAGTCTTCAGTTTCAATTGCAAGTTGTTGTCGTGCCTTATTGGGCGGGTGGTTTAGTGTTTGCTCTGGTATGGTTTGTTCTTTTTTCCTATCAAACCTCTTTTGTCATTATCTCTCCTGTTTTTTGTTCGCATGTTACTCTCCAATAACTCCTCTAATCTTCAAGACCTGTATATGTTGCAAGCCCCGTAAAACACTTACTTATACAAAAAAAAAAAGAGAAAACCTTATTCAGACTGCCTTCTGCATTTAAGTTTTAAGTTTGTAATTGCAACTGCCAATGGGTTTCCTCTTGGTGATCGAAATTGAGAATGATCTTTTAACCTTCTATGTAGTTCTCAGGTTTCATAGATTTTCTTTTGATCTTTAGTGCCAGGTCAAGGACGTTACCCATCTCAGTTCCAGTACCGGCCCCACGCCCTATTCTCAACTCCAGACCAAGAGAGTCAGTGTCAGATGATGAAGAGGAAGCAGTAAGTACCATAATATTGTCTGCAAGCTCTTCAAACATACTAATACTAAGCTCCGAAAGCAACATTTTTCAGGAAAAAGAAAGAATTGTTCAACTCTTGTACAATTTAATCTGCATTATGTATTTTTCTCTTGCTTTTTTTTTTCAAAATTTAAAATATGAATTTCAACAAAATATTTTTTGAGCAAATGCAACTCATACCGCAGATGAAAAACCTTGGAATAAAAAAAAATTAATTAATTTGGGGTTAAGTTATTCTACAACAGCTGGCTGATGATATGTCAGCTGTTTGTGACTTTTAAGTCTTTTTGTTCTCTGTCTGAGGTCATAGATTACACTTGGGAACTTGTGCTTTTAGCTAACGTAGATGATTGGAGGGCGTCACTGGTAGGTCTTACTTCTTTACTGTCCCTCTTTTATTTCTGAATATCTTTCAAGCTTTTTTTCAGTACTGAATGGCCATTATTGTAGAACTGTGCATCTCTATACTTAAAAGAATCACTTTAAAAAATTTTTTTAACGCTCATATTAACTTTTCCCCAACTTTAAATGACTGTTACATGTTTCGATGTGTTTCTTCCCTTTTGAAAAAGTCTAATAGGTTTTGTTATAGTTGTTCTCAGATCGGCCTAATTTCTAGATGAATGTAGGTTCTTGAAATTGTCTGGATTTTGCCTGACTTTAGACTGATCGTTGAAAAGATGCTGCATTTTATATAAAAACTGTCTTGATACAAGATGGATCAAACAAAATTACCCAAAAATTTATAGTTCCCACACTGATTTCTAGGACGGTTATGGGGTAGGAAAGTTCAGGATTTTTTTTGTGGCTAGTTGGCATCTGTGTTTGCTTTATAACTCCGGTCCCTGTTCTTTCTCCGCCCTCAGACACATCACCCAATCAGCTTGCTCCACTCGATGCCTGTGCCCGCTGAGCCGGATGGAGAGCTCAAGTACATCGACATCGACCTGGCCGTGCCGCACTCTGGTCAGGACACCCCCAGAGCCTCCCAGGGCCACCGACACAGCCATGCCCACACCAACGTGCACAGCCACACGGAGCGGGCCAAAGAGTCGGCTACCGAGTACCGGGAAATTGACTTTCTCAAGACGCAGGCTCTTAGCGAGGCCAAGAAGGTCAAGGAGAAAGAGCGGCAGAATGACGACCACAATGGATAAAAAAATCATGGCAGAAGTAATCTTGTTTTGTTCCACGTTGCTGCTGTGGTACTGAACCCGAAGTCGCTCTCTCCCGGCCCCTTAATGAAAACGTTACATTTGTAACTACGCCTTTCTTCTCCTTCACCTACCTCCTCTTTCATTTTGTCCACATCCTGCTGTCTCATCCTTTACCCTCCTTTTCTCCTTCTGCTTTTATATTTTTTAAATTTCTCGCTGCTTTAAAAAATTTTTTATTTTATTATATTTTTTTACCTATTTTTCTCCTCCTTCTACTACTGCTACTACCTCTGCCTCCTTTTTTTCTTCTCCTACGACTACTCTCTACTCTTCCTCCCGACATTCCTCGAAGCTCCGGAATGTCGTCCATTGTCTTCTACAAAATGCTTTGTTGCACTCTTTGACTTGGGGCCTGTGATTGAGTTGCTTCCCCCCTGCCTACTTTGACTACCACGGAGGTCGGAATATTCTCCCACCCCCCCATCCCCCCTGAGATTTCAGACCCCACTGGAGTTTACTTAAGCCAATAATCGTAATGACCTAAACATCCTCCTGTGTGAGTTCGGCTACAGGTTGCTGAGTTCTCTCGTCGAGTAGTCTGGTCATAGACTCATCATCAGAGCAACAGTCAGTGCATGAGGAGTTGGTTCCATCAAAAGTGAGCGAAAGACTCAAAAAGCTTTAAGGGGAGGTTGGAACAATTTTTTAACCCCTCCTCACTGCCTACTCGAGACTTTTGGGCTTTGTGGCCGAATTATGGAATAGGCTAGCCGTGAAGGAGTTTACGGGATCTTTACGTTCCTTTGAATGTGAAAGAAAGATTCACTCAACATCTCTTGAGAACCGGAAAGGGCAAGGACAACATGATCCAAGAGAAGAGGAAACCTAATAGATGAACTAAGAGGAGGAAGTGTTTCAGGAAAAAGGAGACCTGACAGCAAAGCATTTTGTGCCGGAGATAAACGACTGTGGCTTCTTGTTTTCTAAGCTGGAGAGAGCAGCACAGTGTTGCGTGGGATAACATATTTTAAAAATCAGCAACCAGACAACAACAGATTTCACATATGGAATCAGTATCACGTTTCAAGAATAGAGCTATGCTGGTTTTTGGGGGTGTCTTTTAATTAATATTTGTTTTTCATGTTTATGTCTTTATTTTAGTCCCCAAGTCATCTCAAGTCTGTTAACCAGCATCTGTGGTATATCAGTCAGGCTCTTTGCTGTCATGTGCAGAAGACTTGATTCCCACAAGTGGAGGATTTTTATAGAGTATAATCTCTGTCTGTCGGAGGGGATATTGTATCCCTCTTCAGTGCGGCTTGGCCCTGACAGGCAGGGTCAGAGCAAGCCGCCTCCTAAATGATGTCAATCCTGTCAATGAGGGCGTAAAATTTATACAATTATTTTTTCAAGTATGTTTTGTTTTGCTTTTATGGTTACACTGCTTGTTTTTGATAATTGTGTCATAGTTCATCTGATGTAGTCTGGTATTTGCATCAAATGTATGCATTTATAAACACACACACACACGTGCGCATTAGTAAGTAGTCATCTTTACATGCTTGTTCTGTTCATGTATGGTTGGTAACCTTTTTTTTTCTCGACAACCTGTTTCATCACTCCACCATAAAGTAGATTGTCAATGTCGGACAATAAAATAATAGATAATTTTAGATCATAACCTCAAACTTTGATTGATCTCGTGGGGGGAAAGGGGAAATTTGGTTTGCAGTGGTGTAATATATTATACAGATACATGATGCATAAATACTTAAATATGTTCAATAAATACATAGGGATATAGATACATATGTACTGAAACGTACCGATACTATTGCTGGTTGCCACTGCAGTGCCCCGTCCAACCTGCCCACGGAGAAAAGTTTACATCTTAGACAGGTGGTCCTCATGGACAATATCATTATAATGTCGAAAAAAATACGAGGTGGAAAGTGGTTGTTTATATAGGTGATTGTCTTGCACAGGTAGCTGTTGAAGTAGGTTCGACTGTGATTTTTAAAAAAATGCTTGTTTAACTTTCTGTTGCATTTCCCAAAATACAAATAGTTATCCTGCCCATGTGTTCTTTTCTTTGCAATGTTCAGCTGGTTCATATATATATATGTGAGTTGTGCTGACAAAATGAGTTATTTTTCACAATCCAGGAATGGAGATATCAGCTGAAAATTGACACCTGGCACGGGGGTCAGTTTTATTGATTTTCAGTTGATGCCGTATTGTTCAAGTCTATTGGGTCTTTAATTATTTCATACTTACAAATTGTACCAGCTCCACCTATAAAGTTGATGTATCAATTTCCATAGAGTTAAAATCCGAGAAGTAACTCATTTTGTCAGCACACCTCACATATGTAGTTTAATCACTTCTATTACAATTTCACATTTCATTTCATCATACGTACAATACTTTTTAGAGGGTATCGTTTCAAAACTTTTGTTTCCAATTCCAAAGCTTGCTGTCTCCTGATTCACGAGTCATCATAATATCTCTCAAAGTGTTAATCCTCAATGTGATCAAGTGCGTAGTCCCGAATATTATCAACCAAGCCATATGTATTTAAGCAAAGGTCTTTTTGTTGTTATTTGTTTTTATGTTGAAATAATGGCTTAATAACCGCTTGGTTACGTGTATGGCGACTTGGGAAGTCCAGGCTGGCACTGATTTTTGGGGGGATTTTTTTCATGTCACTGTTTCCCCTATATACCACTTAAAGATCTTTGAAATATTTCTATCTTTGACGGGGTTAAACTCATTTTAAGTGAGGTATCTTCTGGCTTGCAACTCGAAGAAAATTGTCTTTCATTGGGTAGTTGCTGAAAATTTATATAAAATAAAGTTCTTTCTGAATTGAAATGTGGAGAAAACAAGCATTCAAATCATTTTGTTAGTTACTTATCAGGTGGATTGTTGGATGGAGAATCTGGCAGAGCTCACTAGCACTTGAATTTTTTTTTTTTATGTGAAGACAAATAAATGAGATAAATATAAAGAAAGAAAGTATATCTTGGGACAGTCTTAAAAAATTTTTTTTTTCTTTTTAAATCAGGCGTTGTCATTACAAGTTTTGGATTGAAAGATAGATGAAAGAAATAAAAGCAATATGAATTCTGACAGAGATAATATCAGTGTTAAGTGGTTTTCGGGCTACGTCTCAGATTACGCCTTTTCATCTTCCAACTGGACTTCCCAGGCTTCCTCACAGAGAATGTGTGCTGTTTTTGTGGTCTTAAGGTTAAATCTACTTAATGTAATATTTGTTTATTAACTTCACTGCTCACATGGTCCGCTTGTAGCATTACTGCCTAGGTACTATAATTTTATGTTGGTAAATGCTGATTACAACTGGCTGTTCCTCATGTTTGAGACTCTTCGAGGCCATAACCAGTGGTGAAATAATATTTCGGCACCAGTTTGTTTTTCTTAAATGTGATATAATATGAGTGGGTGGCTGGAGAATGCCACCTGTGGGTTCTACTTTTTTACTTTCCGTCTGATGTTTCTGTCCGTCTGTATTTCTTTTGCCTGCAAGAAGCAACTGTTATCGCGTCGATATGCTTGTCTTTACCCAACTTGACAGAGGTTGTATTGAAAATGGATTTGTGGCAGAAAAGCGTAAGTTGACGTCAGTTCTTTGATCAGTCCCAATTTTTTTTTTCCGTCACACCAGTAATATTAGCATTAGCAGGAGGAGTGTCATTGTTACTTTGATTGTTCAAATAACCTTCTACGTTACTGTTGTTCATGATGTTGCAGCTCTTCACAGTGGCTTGGAGAAGACTTGAGTCCCAATTCCCACCATGGGAGATTTTTTTTCTTGAGTATCTGTCTGTCGGCAGGGACATTATATCTCTTTCTTCCGTGGGCGACCCTAAGAGGCAGGATTGAAACAGCTTTCCTCTTAAATGTGATTTCAATAGTGTTGATAAGCGCATTCAACTTTTTTTTTCTCAGTATTGCAAGGAGTCAAATACTGGTGTCTCTAGTGTAATGTTACAAAGACTGAGTTCATTTCTCTCGGCTGAAAGGGAAAGATGTTTCTCAGATCGCTGTTATGAGCATGTCGAAAAGTTCTTTCTAGAACTGAGTTGAGTTGAGTTTTATTTTTTCATATAAGAGTTTTTTGTTAATTTTTGACTTTTTGTTATTCCTAAACTCTTTCATTGCCTGATCTATTTTTTAAAAGTTTTTAATGGAGTTTTAACGGCGCTCTCAACTGCGTACGGTCATATGAGTGCCAAAGGGTGGATGTCAACAGAGAAGTGCGAACATGGAATCAGCCTTACTCTGCTCACCCCTCTATCTTCAACAGCACGAAGTCTGCTTTGACTATCAAGGCACCCCGGAAATAGCGGGTCACGAGTGTGACAAACATACAAAAGAAGTAGAGGAAAAATTTAGATAGTAAGGATAAGGAAAGAAAAAGTAGCTGTTTGCTGTTGCAGTTTAGGCACTGTTAAGAGTATGACATTGATGAATCAGCCCATTTACAATTCTACTGTGCATGAGACCGTGTTAATGTCCCCCCTTTGGGAATGGCCTTAAGATTAAGACCCTTCAGCCTCTAGCAACGCCCCAAAGGGGGGGGGGGGTAATCTGCCAGGTCTGATCAAGACTATAATCCAACCCAGAGGACATGAGTAGGTTCTTGTTTGGCAGTGTTAGGGATAAGTATTGAATGTGAGGACATATGATGGCCATATGTAAATCTCAGAGAAGGTTGAACTAGTCCCAAGTGGTCTGGATGCTTTTAGCGTTTAGTGGTTTTGTTTTGTAATCAATGTTGTCAAAGTTATATGTTTTGTGTCTTATAAAACTCAGCCTGAGGTGGACAAAGGAGTTTAGTTCTTTCACTCATGTCAAGATGGTCTTAACTAAGACACGTTGCATTTTGGAATACAGTAAAACTTTGTTTTACATACCACCCTCCGTTATACTGCCAGCCACGCTAACCACCAGGATTTGCTATTGTATGAAAAGGAACGCTTTTATATAAACCTAGTATTTGTACCTTTACATTGTACCACCACCGAATTAGCTGCCAGAGGTAGGCCTACATTCTACACACCGTGCACGGCACCCACTCAGGGGCTGCTTGATAATATGTATACCGCATACATCTCTGCGAGCTCGATTTCTAGAGATTGTCGATTTTCTCCTAATTTTCGTTGATTTTGACAATGTTATCATTTTAGGACTATGGCCAATATTAATTAAAAAAAGGAAAAAAAGAAATTGGAACGAAGTTTTAAAATCGCCTGCAGAGACTTCAAAGGAACTGTGCTATCTAAACCTTCCAGCAAAATATATAGCGTCACCAGGTATCAGCCCAATGCCCTAAATGCTGGCAGGTGCCCATAAGTCCTCTATATTGTGAGGACTTATGCTCATAGTAATAGGTATAAAGCGGCACGAGGACGGACGAGTACAATGTGTTGAGTAAAAATTAAAAATAAGTCTACAGAGTCCTTGACACATAGCTTCTGATCATAGCTTTTTTCTATTTTGAAGTTGCTTGAAGTTCAGCTGGAGCTGTACTTGTAATTAGTTACTACTTATTTTTTAGCTGCGCAAGACAGATCTAGATGAGGTAAGACTGGCCACAGTTTGTCTCTAGTTCTTCCAGTCTACTACTTGTCAAGATGACTATCGGTGGTATCCTGTTGTTATATAACTATCCCCGCTGTACCGCCACTTTATGCTTGTCCCAGGGTAGGGGGTAGAACGAGGTTTGACTATATTTAACAGGAAAGTTACTAATCAAAAGTTTATAGTGAGCCGATTGTAAGTTTAATACGTGCTGTTGAGATTCTTTAGAAATAATTGAAAGTGCCATACAGGTTGACTTAATGTGAGGACTGTGTGTTTGTTATAGATGTTCAGAGTGGTGTGAGTATCGTAACAAAGAAGTATATAGGTATGCTTAGATTTTGGAGACTATCCTGAAAATCATGACCTGATCCCAACTTTGTTTAAAACAAAAGCTTTTTGAAGACCTTAAAGAGCACTTACCTTTTTACTGTAGAAGATTTCTGTTAAGAGAATAATATCAGATCTCTCAGTTTTTGAAGCAGCCCACCTCCTAAATGTTCGAAATAGCTGTCAGTGAGAGCCTAAAACATTTCTAACGACAGATTTTATTTTGCTGTCACATATGTGGTGTTAATACTTCCTCTTGTGCCAAGGTTTTGTGATTTGTTAGAATTTTGCAGACGATACTAAAAGATGTCCATCTTTCTGTAAATAAAAATGGTCTTTGCACTGGGAGGCAAAGTAGGAATGTTGGCACTCTAACTCAATAGAGTCGCACCAAAATTCAGCACTTGATAGATTAGAGGCAATGAAAATGGGCATGCTTAACAACCGTGTCTTCAAGTTTTAGCAAAATGAATAGAAATTTGTTGAGCAAAATTAATCAGCCTCTCTGTTTGGCCTTTTGTCAATACTTTTCTTACTCCTCTTTCGGCTTTTACATTGTTTAGCTGATTTTCTGCAACAAATTGCCTTGCGATCCGATCAATTTATCATGAAAGTGGCTGCCTCGACGCGGTATTTGCTTTCCTGGTGAAGACGATATCAATGAGGTCTTGCAGGATTATTTTAACGAGTAAGATCCAAAAGCCCAAAATTTTTAAAAAATGAAAGAAAACGATGCTTCTCGTAAAATTTTATAAAAGGTAAATCATATAAAGGTCAAAACCCCAGTAACCGTCGACTTGAACGTCTTTCCAGTACATCACTTTCACTTTTTATGATAACAAAGTCAATGCAGACCCACTTGTAAGGCTTGCCCCCATACCATTACCTTCAACTAAAATGTTCACAAACACCACCGTACTACTAGTACTAGTCGATGGTCATCATTTATGCTCCTGTGCCATTTAGCTTCATTGAGGGAAATTGATGGAGTGAGAGAAGAAATGAAAAATGTTTTTACTTGCATATTTTAATTGTTATAAAGGGTTTTATACTTCAGATGATATACTACTTGCCTTTTGAGCCCTAAAATCATACTGCTCGCTTGCATCAGATTTATTCACCGCATGCGGAGATGTGA